CCCCAAAACCCCAAAACCCCAAAACCCCAAAACCCCAAAACCCCTTTGAAGATAAAAAGTTGAATGTAAGCCACTTCAAGTAGTTAGATTTATTCATGGTTTGCGAGAGCAAATCCAACAGTCTTATCATTCATGTTGAAGTGAGTGTAGTATTTTCTCATCAAAACATCTCCGATAATGAGATATGGGAAGTTAGTAGCGAATTTGGCAGACATGAAACCACATACACAAGCTTCTCCGAGGAATGATTTAACTCTGACAATGTAGTCCTCTGGAGTCAAGGTATATTCTACTGAATCGAAAGTAATGGTGATATCTGGGTGACCAGAGAGATCCTTACAGGTTTGATCGATGTCTCCAATTTGAGCGAGGATTGGATCAATAAGCTTTTGATCTCCAACAATGAGAGAAGTTCCACTATCGATAACACCTTTATATCCTTCAGCTCCTTCAATTGAGTTCCCTCCTACCTTGATGTCTGTCATATTAAGACTCCAGTATTTCTCTTCAATAACATTGTGATATTGCAATTCTCCGGTGAACAAATCTTCATCAACTCCTGGGGCAACCAAGAAGGATTCCTCATCAGTATGTCCAAGTTTGAAGGAGAATGATCTGTCTTCTAAATCAGCAGCTTCGAAGAAAACTGGGAAGTTATCAGTAGAGATAGTGTTGAAGGCAAGTCCTAGGATACCGTCAAGATGTCCCATGATGAAAGAAATTCCTTTTACAGAGGTAACCTCTCCGAATCTGAAGTCTTCAGCAGTGAGGCCAGCGAAGTTTACTTCATCATTTGACCAGTGTCCACTAGCACTTCCAGAGCCATATCCGAGATAGAACTTCTTTCCATTCTTGTGGAAAGTATCTGATCTCTTGTGTTTGTAGTAGTTGTGGAGATAACAAGAGAGTGAGAAGTAGCAGCTGGAGGAGTAAATCCAAAGATCTGATGATCCAGTATCTGGCACAACCATGAAGCTCTGTGGTGGGTTTCCAACAGTAACCTCAGCAACATATTGGGTATCAGTGTAGTCCTTGATTGGAAGATTTGTCTGATCATTTGATCTTAAAGCAGATTCCATCTCTTGTTCAAACTCTGGTGATTGGAGGAAACTTCTCTTGGCATCAATCTCTAGCTTAGAGATAGATCTCTTGGTCAATGGAATGTGCACAGCCAAGCTTACTGAAGCAAGAAGAGCCAATACTACGACGGCTTTATACATTTTTAAATATATAAAAAATTGTATAATCTTATTTATATTCAATAGACTCCATATATATTGGGGTTTTGGGGTTTTGGGGTTTTGGGGTTTTGGGGTTTTGGGG